GCCTCAAACTCATAGTGATCATCTTGCCTCAGCCTCCCCACTGCTAAGATTACAGATGTGCTCCACCAAGCCTGCCTTTGTCCTTCTATAGTCTATCCAAAACCCTGAAAAACAAATTAGTTGGTGCTACCCACAGCCAAGGGAATTGTTAAACCCAGCATCACACCCCAGATCCAGCCACTCCCAAAAGGCCCCACCTATGATCAAATGAGGTTTTGTAGGGAGCATCTAGACAGGGATTATGACAGTCAGCCTCTTTTTTTTGTTATATATTTAGTACAGGATCTATAGAGTCTTACTACACAGGTTGAACTCGTAGTGATCCTCCTGTTTTCAGCCTCCCAAGTGCTAGGATTACAGGCGAATGCCACCTCACCCAGTCTCAATTGCTATTTCTGTGCACCCCGGGGGTGGGACTAGCAGGGCACGCTGGGGATCAAACCCAGACCCCTGCATCTGCCTTACGTGGGCGCTTTAATCCACTGAGCTATCTGGCCTGCCCACATTTAGCTTCCTTTTTTTCTTTAAATTTTTTATTTTTATGTATTTAGTGCAGGGTCTAAGGAGTCTTACTACATAGATCGGACTGTAGATTGGACATAGTGATTCTCATTTTTACAGCCTCCCAAGTGCTGGGATTACAGGCATGCACCACCACGCCCAGTCGCAATCTCCATGTGCCCTGTGGATGGGGTCAACACTTGATGCACCTCATTTCAGTTAAATAATTTCCCACATCGTTAAGGTTCCCAAGGCCTTTCCAGATGTATTTTACATGTCATGTTGCTTGCTTTAAATAAGGTCAACTCAATCATATCTTCCGAATTTGGCTTTAATGTAGTCACCTAGATGTTTTCTAATGGTGTAGTATCAGACAAAACCAAGATTTTTTTATTTTATATAAGCAGCACTTTCCACATATATGTACACTATAGCCCTGGTCCCTGGGTCACAAGAGTTCTGAAGTTTGGCACTTTATTTATTTACTTGTTTGTTTATTTAGATACTGTTGGCCAGACTGGCCTTGAACTCCTGGATACAAGCAATCTTTATGCCTTAGCCTTCCCAATAGCTAGATCTACAAGTGTGTGCTGTGATGCCTTGCTATCTTTTATTCCCTGGGAATGCCCAATAAATTGTCAAGTTCTGTAATTTCTATCTTTATGTGTGTGTGTGTGTGTGTGTGTGTGTGTGTGTATCTGTGAAATACTGGGGACTTAATGCAAGCTGCACAAGCATTCTACCACTGAACTAAACACAGTCTTAGCTCTTAATATTCTGACACAAGAATCTTACTAAGTTGTCTAGGATGGCCTGGAACCTCTGATCCTCTTGCTTCAGCCTCTTAAATAGCTATGATTACAGGATGTGCCATCACGCCCAGCTACAGTTTTACATCTGATCTTTTCTGATCTTAGTGTCACGCTTTCCCATCTTCCTTCTTAGGTCTTTATAATCACTGCTTGCATTATTGCAATCTCCTTCCAACAGAATTCTCTGTTACACCCCTCCTCTGTCCATTCTATTTTCACTGTCCTTGCCACAGCCATCTTGTTAAAGCAGAGCCTTGTCATCTTCGCTGTTGGCATTCGTAGAGGCCTTTCATGTGGCATAAGTTCTGGTCTAATTACCATTCATTCCCCAGCATGACCTAGACCCAAGCAAACTGAAGCAATTCCCTCAACATGCCCTACATTTTCTCTCCATTATGCTTTGGTTCATGTTGTTAGGTCTTGGTAGAAAGGGCTTTTTTTTCACTGTAACCCTAATCAAAACACTGCTCTTCCTTTATATGCCATCTCCTTAATTAAACACTTCTTACTTCTTTATATCTGGCAGTCTTTTATGATAAATAACATTCTTACTATATTAAACTTACTCATATGTTTCTGTGTCTTATGTTAGTCAATGAACCATGGATCTTTATGTACTTAGGATTTTTTATGTTTTTCTGCTTAGATAAATGTCTTGCATTCCAAAGGTACTCAAAAAATACTTAATTAAAATTGCCAGTGTATAGACAATATACTCCATGAAAATAAAGGACTTTTTAAAAAAGTTATTTGTAGAAAAATAATTATTCAGAACAGCATCACATAGTAAACATACAAAACTTCAACTGTAAGGACTCAACTGGATAAATTTAGGCTTGAGCCTGAATCTGACCCGTGTGTGGCTCATGGTAAGAATTTAATATGTATTAATTGAAGATCATACCACCTTGTTATAATGGTATGTAATCAAGTACATACGAAAGCAGGCAAAAAAAAAAAAAAAAAGTCACAGACATATCAACTGTACCTACAGGAGGCCTGCCTATAGAGTCATGTTAATAATCAGAAGGGTCCAGAGAAAGCACCTGTCACATTTGTGCAACGATTTAAGATGCGTCCTCTTATATACTCTGACTCTCACATCAAACCTGCTCGGCACGCACTGGAGGCCACAAGCTCAAGTTTATAGGCAGAGATGGTCAAGCTATCTAGGTCAGAAACCTTTGACCTCGGCGGGGCCAAGCCTCTAGTCTCCGCCTCCCAGCGGCAGGTCGAGCTCGGCTTGGCAGTCACCTCTCGACTACGATCGCAGGGCTTAAGAGTCTTGGTTCCCTTTTCTTGTCCTGCATTATATCCGCAAAACGAGTCCCACGGATCCCAGCGACCACGGAGGGGAAGACGCCGGCGAAGCGGACGAGAGCGGCACCTCGAGGCCGCCGTCCGGCCGAGGTTGCACCACCATAGAGTACAGAAGCGAGGCTAGAGAGGCCCCGGGAGCGCCTCGCACTCGGTCCCGGACCCGAGGGATGGCGATCGTGCTGGCCCTGAAGGTGTTTGCGGGGCTAGTGGCCGCGGCACTGGTCGCTTTGCTCTTGGAGTATTACGGCCTGGCGGATCCGCCCTCGCCGCTGCCCCAGCGCCCCCACCTCCGGCGGCCTCACCCCGCGCCGGGCTCCGGAATCGGCAACATCTTCTGGGGCCTGCAGGTGACGCGCGGGAGCCTGGTGGGCGGTGGGTGCTAGCGCGCTCCTGCTGCTCCCGCACCTGCGCCCGGGTGGGGTCTGGGTCAGCCCAGGGCTGGCTTTCCTCGGATAGTTCACGGGCTGGGGCGGGATTCCTTGAGGCGCTGTCTTGGTTTTTTTTCCTTCCACCTGAAAGAGAGCCTCTGGACTGCCACTGCCCGTGCTGCCTCTGCCTGACTCATTTATTCCTGTTTATTACCTGCTTTTGGCAGATATCAGACATTCACCTGAGCAGGTTTCGGGATCCAGACAGAGCCACAGACTTAGAGAAGTTCTGTTCTGAAACTGTTGACATCATTCAACCAGCTCTCGTCCTAGCAACAGGTAGGGAGCATTGCAGTGCAATGGTGGTTTTCTGTGGCTTGGATGGTATAATCCTAGCCAGGGTTGCAGCCTTTCACGTTGGGATCGTTGAGAACCCTATAGCCACGGCCGCCAGAGCCTTGTGAGGTAGAGATCAGACTTTGTAATTCCTTTTCCCCACGGATTGGGGAGCCAGGATCTAGCCAAAGGCTTTGCCATTGCAGGTCTTGTCAGAGCACTAGAAGCAAGTCTTGTGTTCATTTCAGTCTGTTATATTTGTGTGTCTGGTTTTCAGGCGATGTTGCGGTTATGCATTTGAGAGAAAATTAGAGAAAGCCTTTTAACCAGAAATCAAAATTTTGTGCTTTGCTAACTTTACCATTCAGTTGCTTGGGTTTTTTGATGACTCAGGGGACTTTTTGTTCATTTTTAAAAATAATTTTGTGACTTGGTTCCTGGTTTCTTCAAACACTTGTCTATGTGCCCCTGAATTCTGTTGGAGAGAACCTTCTGGCACTCTACTGCAGCTTCTCTACTGCTATGATGGGGTATCAGTCCTTAGTTAATGGGTGAGCCCACAATCCTGTTTAGTTTCCTAGAAATTTTGCTACTTCACTGTCTAAACTTTCCAGATTGCTTCTTTTTTTT